CCCCCTTGAGAACCATCACTCCTTAGTTCTCTGGTTGCCATGGTGAGCCACTGGCGTTAACAGGTATGCTGGCATAGAAACAAAGGTTGACACCCAATGTTCTAGACTAATTCTTAACCTGATTTAAAACGTATATGCTACCATTTTGAAAATCATGGACTTGAGTAAAACAAAAATCAGAAAACAAGACGAAACAAACGAACAAAAAAAAAAATCACAAAAGATGTAGCATTAAGACTTCTCCAAACAAAAATGCTAACATGTTTTAGAGTTCAACTTGTATTTGCCTTCTTTGGCATTCACGTGCAGGCGGGCCATACAGTACAGAAACTTTTCACGGAAAGCATGTACAGTCTGAAGAATGGTTTCCAATGCCCATCATCACCTCCAGGGACCGGCTTTCGTAAGACCAGTAACACGCTTTCTGTCTTTGCAACGTATACTTTGCAAACCGCTAAGAAGGGAGCCATGGCACTGAGGGGGGAATCATCTAAGGTCAATCTGGACCCGGACAAGAGGACACACACCCCACCTTTACAAATGGCAGCCTTTTGAAAGAGAAAATATCCCACCCTAACAAAATATGGCAACAAGTTACTCTCATGATTAAGAGGTATGAACTGGATATCCCACATGACACCTAGGAAGTGGTCTCGCTTCTCGTAGGCGCGTGCGTGCACAAATTTCTGTAATTGGCATGTAATTACATTGGGCATGTAATTATATGCTTAAGTTGAGTGGGTGGCTATAAATTAGAATAGCTTAACAGGTCATTTCTGCAGCAGACCTTTTTTTTTTTTTTTTTAAAGTAAATTATATACTTAAAAATTAGTTTGCCAAATCGGTGCGTTTTATTTTATTTTCTTAAGTTTATTTATTTTGAGAGAGACAGAGAGAGTGCAAGCAGGGGAGGAGCACAGACAGAGAGGGAGAACCAACTCGGTGCTTAAACTCATGAACCGTGAGATCACAACCTGAGCCAAAATCAAGAGTTAGACGCTTATTGGACTGAGCTACCCAAGTGCCACCCCAAATTGGTACATTTTAAATTTATCTGTATTTTTTTTTAATTTTTTTCAACGCTATTTTATTTTTGAGAGAGCATTGTAGAGCATGAACGGGTAGGGAGGGCAGAGAGAGAGAGCATACAGGCAGGTAATCGAAATAGGTAGTCTGAAGGCTCTGAGCCATCAGCCCAGAGCCTGACACGGGTTTTAAACCACGGACCAGATCGCGACCTGGCTGGAAGTTCGACGCTTAATCGACTGCGCCACCCAGGCTTCATTCGTATTTTTTTCTAGGTGAGGAAATGATTGTCATGTAAGGTGGGGGAAAACAATAGATCACAAAAATGTTAATTATAAAATGCTCCTGATGTTGTGGGGGAAATTTACATACACACTTTTTTTTTTTAAAGGGAACAGATAATGAATTAAAAACAGATAATAAGTGGATAAATAGGAACAGATACACATTGAATCTTCACTGGATAGTGAGATTACAAATTACTTCCACTTTTCCAGAGTTTACTACAAGTAATTAGACGCTGAGCGGACCGGACCGTTTCCTTCCTGGCTGTATGGTGAGCACTTAGCCGCTTCTGGGGGCCACAGGACACTGACCAAGTATCACAGGCGTGGTCCCTACCCTCATCGTGACCTTCACCTTCTCCACAACCCAAAACCTACCATTCCTCCCAATCCTGACCCAAATGCGGCCCTCTGAGAAGTTCTTTTTCAGGTCAATCTGGCAACTTAATCCTTCTCGTCCTCACATTTTCAACTGCTCTCCTGGCATTCTTCGTGCTCTCTCCCTGCACTCTAGCAGAGGGCTGCGCAGGTAGTAGGGACTCAGGCTGCTGAGTCTGATCGAGTTCGGGCGGCCAGCGAGGAGGCTGTGTTCACTTTAACTCCATTCCTTCGTGCATTTGGTCCCCGATCTTGAGAATACTGCTATTTAACGGTGAGCCCACTCCCAAAAGCCTAGTCTGCGGCAGGGAGAACAGCACAATTTTTAAAAATAGCAAACACTGCTCTCTCTCGTTAATTACGGCCGGCCACTATTCTTTCTACACGGTTTACCTTTACCGACTCTCAATCCTCACAACCATCAATATCTCCATTTTACAGATGAAGGCGTTAAGGTGGAGAGAAAGCCGATAACCAGCGCGAGGCCGCGGATGTCACAAGCAGCAGAGCTGGGGTTAACCTCAAGAGTCCCAGCCAGGTGACCGGGGGTGTTCTGAAGGGCGTGAAGTATGCTCCACGCTGCCTCTCCACCAAATAAAAATCCTATTGATTCCGGTTTCAAGAAGGCAGGCTCAGCAATGAACACACTAGCACAATCCCGCAAAGGCTTTACGTTTAATAGGAAAAGAAAAAACCACTTATACTTAGGAGAAAAGGGAATGAAGAGGAAGCTCTTTGCAACAGAAAGATAACTGGAAGGTGTTTGGCATCATCTGGAATAACTGGCTAATTGTAGCGAAGTCACTGATCTGTAGACGAAGGAACCCCCTACTGAGCCAAAGCCCCATCCCCTTGACTGGATTTAGACACACACACCCCCTTCCCACGGCCATTTTTTACTTCCAGCGAAATGCCACCCAGCAAACTTCTCAGCTGCCTCCCGGCACCTACTATAGGCACAGAGATGGGAAAACAACTCAATTTTGTGAAGATCTTACGCACGCCAAGGCAAACAACGATGGATACATTATCTGTGACAGCACATCCCTCTAGAACAGATCAACTAAAACAGAATTGTCCCACCTGGTTTAACACCCCCACTGAGGCGACTTCACCTTACAGGCACGTGGGAACCTATTAATGCGCCAAAAATGCCGCGGAACCAAATGAGCACGCCCCCAAACCAAACGCAAAAGGGCACCCGCTATCTGTGGCCTGCACCTTCTCTCTGCTAACATCTTCCCGCTGGGTGTGGAGGCAACCCCAGGAATTTCAATGCTTCCCATTCGCTGAGAAAGTCCACCAAATGCTGAAGCATACAGTCTCCCCCTCCCCGCACGACGTGCCCTTCAGAATTTCCTCCAGCTCGCCTTTCATTCTGTCTGTCTTCATTGTGATGATTTCCCCAAGGAGCCCAAATAAAAAGCCAACCTCTGGGGTCACATCCCTTTGCTGCAAAAGCTCGGGCTGCACACCGCCCGATTACACCGTATGCTTTCTCCAGATAAGGCCAGGGAAGAACCGAATTTGAGACACAGGAGTAAAAGGATGCATAAAATAAAATGGCCACTTTTTCAGAATCCGAGACAGACGGGGGCATACTTCAACGTCAAAAGCATGGGACTAAGAGAATACTTGGTAAGGGCGGACTGATGAAGGAAACAAAACAATAAATAGATTAAAGTTTTCCAGAGTGAGGTACTATCGAGAATAATGAAGCCTGCCTCAGAGAACCTTCAGTTCCCAGCATTAAAAAAA